TAATAAAGTTGTTAGTTTTTTTAAAATACTTCGGAATCTCCCATCTTTTTACCTTCAAAAACCAATAATGCATTTTTTACAAAACCATCTTCAGAATCATCATGTAAAATAATAAGGTGTCATCCCTTTCTTATAGAGCTTTTTAGGAATTGCTACCCTTAATAGTACTCAGTGTAGATTTTCAATACAATTGCTTACTATGAAAAACTATTATTCAGGAAATAAAGTAAATAACTAAGTAATGTGTGAAACTGACTGCATTCTGACCAATCAGAAGTCTACAGAATTGCCAACTAACTTAAATTCAAATCGCTCCTTAGTTTAAAAACAGAGTAAAGTGATAAATTCTGTACCAGCCCAAGCAACGATTAAAGCCCGCTACTTGTGGCCTACCATTACCTGTGTCTAAGTGACCTTTGTCCCCTGGAATTTTTCATCTCCATCTGTAGCTACCCGAGTACTTTCGACGCCGTTTCGAGAGTTTGTGGAGTAAACCATAACCAAAAATCTGGCGCTCGAGAACCGCCCGTTACCAGCGCCATTCGTACGAAACCGTTTTCTCTGTGGCGAGAAAACCCCTTACACCTTCTAAAGGAGTCTGCTGAATTACTTGCATCCAGATTAAAAGAAAAGAACCTTCTTTATCCAGATACTAATATTACATTTTATCGTAAAAGAGAAGGATCTGCTGCCTTTTTTAACTCGGGAAAATAACCTGGTATTCTGTAACAATATAAAAGGACTCGTAGAAAAAATAGGTTTGTCAGAATACACTGCAGACGATTGTCACCTTTTTATTGACATTTCAAAACGTTGTTTAACATGTGTCCTTCTACATAACGGTAATAACGGTAACAAATATGGCTTAATTCCTATTGGTCATTCTACGACCATGAAAGAGGAATATGAAAGTATTAGCATTAGTATTAAAAAAAATGGGCAATTTTTGTTGATTTAAACATGATAAACTTCCTCCATGGACAGCAAAGTTGATATATAAAACACACCTGTTTTTTATGTGTTTGCGACATCAGAGCTAAAAATCGGCACTTTGGTTACGAGAGAAAAAATTTTACCACCCTTGCATATCAATTTGCTGCTTATGATTGTAAAGTTTTTTTGATTCTTTATTCGTAAACATTTTTAATACCGACCGAAAATCTCAAGTCTCTACTATTGACAGAATTACTTTCGACATATCCTATGGTGTTGCAAAATGTTATTCGTTTTTAATTTCGTAGTTCTTTTTCAGAAGAGTCAAGAATAGCTTTGAATATGCGCATATGTTTTCAACTATTCGAATATTCTCAATGCGAAGAGTGAAATACACTTGTCGAGGATAGGTCTCCTGGAATATATTTTCTTTACAACGTTGCCGGATCAAATAGGTACCTGAAAAACTGGGGAAATATCCCGACACGTTCTGGACAACGCTCTTAAGAAAACATAAAGGATAAGGTAAAATAAAAATTTTATTTGGTGCATAATTTGAGATTATATTTACAGTTTCTCACAAAATTACAACAACACATACATTTCTGAGACTACAAACTATAAAAACAATAACAGGCAAGAGATACAAACAGCCTAGTGAATTTAAGATGTTTACCATTTTTACACCAACTCACAAGCAAGTAAACAATTTGTATGTACAGGGTTAGCTGAATCCATGAATTCATTCCATTAAATAATCATCAAGCAAAATTTCATTCATAAAATTGATACGATTTTGGCACAGTACAAAAATACTGTACAGGGGGCGTTAAATAAATACAGGATGAAACAAAAGATACCGAAAATTAGTAGGCCTTTTCATATTAACGATATTTTAATAGCCAGATTTTATGCCTTAAGAGATTCGTTTCACTTGACTCATCCTGTACATCCTAAATAATAAAATAGTACTACTGAGTTTTCAGGCTTAAAAAAATTACCATCAAAAATACACATGTGAATATTTTTTAAAAATATGCAATACTTTTTATAAATTTTACATGTTTGTCTTTTATTTAAATTAAAACCCGAAACGCGCTATACAATAAACATAAAATAATTTTGACAAAACATATTTTGCTATTTACAAGACTAAACTAGCGGTATATCACAAATTTATTTGCTTTAATTGGAATTATTCTCAACATCACAATGTAATCAAAAGCAAACTATAAAAAATAACAATTAAATGCGCTCTCTATACATTCTTAACAAGTTCTAAGCCTCATTGGACTTTTTTAATTTTGTAATACTCCATACGAAAGCAAAATTTATTTGTAAAGTAAAAAATGACAAGCTATCTTATTAAATTATTTCAACATCTAAGAGTCAATTTCATAAATCTTATTAATTAATATGTGCTCTCACAACAAACTTAATCTTTTTCAAAAGAATAACTTTCTTTATTATAAAGAAATGTAACATAATACAGCGCCTCATGCTAACTCTTTTATAAAAAGTAAAAAACGCTCGCACATCCTATTTTTTGAAAAGTTAACAAGAAAATATTTGTTTTAATCCGAAAGTACTCACTCTGTATGTATGTATTTAAAATTTCACTTAAAAGCATAATATAAATTAAAACAGTTTATTGAACAAAGGATTGAATTTGTTTATGATAGAAATAGTTTGCCATCTTTAGATAAAGTCCAAGGGTCTCCCAAAAATCATATTTCCTGCTTTTAAAAACAATAAATATTTTATATAAAAAACGGTTGAAGGGCGCTATTCAGAACAAAAGCAATAATATATTTAACAAAAATTTCAGTCAAACTGAAATTGTAAGATTGTTGGTCTGATTTATAATAATATAATTTTTGTAAAAAATTCTACCTACAAGATACGTCCTTGGAAGAATTTAAAATTATCACAATTCAAAAAAATATAGGTCTATAACGATAATAATAATACAGACTTGTATTAAATTTGTTCAAAATTTGCAACCCTTAATAATTCCCTTCCCATTAACAAATAAATAAAAATGCACAATTATTGCACACTGGACACAAATCAGTCTCTTAAAAATTTGATGTTCTTGTTATTTGAAGAAGGCACCTCTCTACAGTCGAGTCAAGGTATGACTAATATCACCTCTCGTTTGCCAAAAATTAGACAGTTCTATAAATCACGTAAATTTTTAAGATAACCAATCACATTTTAATTGTATAGATACAATAGTAATAATACAACACACCGATTTAAGCAAATGGTTAAAATTGACATTTTTTCCAAAACACCTAGTCCAAAAATCGGTTGCTAAAAGGCTAACAGCTATGTTGAGAACAGATATATCTTAGCTGCTTGATTCAGCTTAAAATTTAAAAGCTGGTTAACGCTACTAATGACAAAAAACTAAAAAGCTTTATATAGAGTGGGCCACTCAAAAGAGTCTGCCCTGGTATTTGGCAGTATTCCTTGAATTTTAGGAAAATGCTGAAATACGTCGATTTTTATTACAAAGAACACGTGTTTTTAATACAGACATTTGTCATGTGTCAACCACCTCCCTGTGTGTGTGGCAACATCATTAGAAAGGTATTGCGATTGACTACTATTCAGGCATATAATCATCTATGACTTTTTTTCGATGTATATAAAAAAATAATTTAATTAAAATGTACAGGATGTCCCAATCTGTAGGCTAGCTCACGAGCTAGGAGGTGACTATCATCTTAGGAGGATGCACAATAGGCTTAATGAGACCTAAGTGCCGTGGGGGTAACCCACCCTCCACACGTTACAGATACAGGATGTCCCAATGAAAAGTAGCCCGTTTCCAAAGCTTATAACTTTTAAGCGCCTAATCGTAGAAACAGTGTTCGCTGATATGTGTTATTTTGCTATAAGTTTTGGTTTAGTGACACAGAAATGATGTATTACTACAGGGTGTTTTTTGAAAATCTCCTCTTTTAAATTCAACGTAACCAAATTTTATCAAATTTATTTTGAAAAATACCATGTACAAATTATACATTTTTGAAAAGTAGAAGAGTGTATCTTTCAGATGACCTAAACATATACAGGGTGTTCCATTTGATAAAATTTCGTTACGGTGAATTTAAAGTGGCCCACTCTGTATGTTTATCAATTTATTGAATAGGGGTGTGGCTAGAACTAGTGATAAGCGATATTTAATGAACTGTTCCTTTTTACTGATTTTAATAAGTCTTCTCGTCAATCTCATAAGTTTTCATATTTAGCGATCGCTACTGACCTAATGCGTGTGATCCGTGATCCCGATTTTCTGTTACTTAGTTTTATATTCGTTAGTTTGATCCATACCGAGTAGTGAATTTTTGAGACATAACGTATTAGATCTACATAGTACACAGCAGTGGAACAGATCATTTAAAACCGTGATCATTGTTATTTATGTTATTTAAAAATCACAGTAACGAATAACGATGGGATTTTTTTTAATATTACGATTGGAAAAACGTCATAGGGCATTCACCTGTTTTTATAAAAACTTAAAATAGCCCATATTTAAGTTGGCTAGGTACTACATTAGGGTCAAATTAGGACCTATTTTAAGTTTTTAAATAAGCAGGGATGATTGCCCTTTTGACGTTTTTTTTTTCAAATCGTAATATTAAAAAAAAATTCATATGGATCCACTATTACCCTAAAATTATATTTTTTTTGAGATACAGGTTCTTAAAGTTTCAAAAATAACTTAAGACAATTTCAGAAAACGACATTTAATTTGTAGTAACAGAAACAGAAGTATTAGTTATTTTAAAGAAAAAAGGTTTAAATTGCTGAAACTAACTTATTTTTAAAATTTTAAGGACCTGTTTCTCAAAAAATATCAACTTTAGGGTAATTGTGATACATATTGAAGTTTTTACAATCAATCGGTGTATTTAAAAATAGCGATGGTTTTCCAAAACTAAAATTAAAATTTTCTCGGAGTTTTTTGCCTAAACATCTGACGTAAATAATTTGAGGTTTTCAACAAAAATACTCACACTGTATGTAAGCGCTACAATGATAACATAAACAAATTAGTCATATTATAAACTAAAGAACTTAAATCTGGTGTGATGCCATTAAAACATGGGCCTCTGTAACATATTGTTATATAACGCCAAAATTCATGATGCTGTTTTTATATTTTATTATCATTTACCAGAACATCTGAGTTACTAAGTCGATATAAAGAAATTCACTGATAATGATAATGGAATTTAAATACAAAGAATACTGTGTAAAGGCATAAAAAATTGTTATGCCTATTAGCAACCGACTTAAAATATTTATAACAGCCTTTAGGATTTTTTAAAATAACGTGATTTCATACATTGCAATTTCGTTCTATTTGACTCGTTCCATAACTCGTTCCGATTTTGCCTAAATCACACGTGCGATTCCAGAGGTACTGTAAATACGGAGCTTTCTGGAAAACTCTGAGGTCGTGCTCCTATTAGATGCTGTCTAAGCGCTACAACCATATTATCGGGACCAATGAGATTTATTTCAAAGAAAAATCTGTCACGACGCATGGCGCTCAAATCGGGAGAGCTAGTTCGTAGAGATCTTTCTTTTCTGGTGTTTTGGTTAGCATCTTTGTCTTCGTTTTTATTGTCCATTACCCATGTGATTTTGTCGGGATCTTTAGTACCTCCCACCGTGTGTCTTCTTTTTATTGAACGGTCAGGATGACCACTTTTTCTCTTATTTTTAACAGAATCTTTAAATCTGCGATTGTTCAGGTTGATTTCTCGTTTTCTATTAATGTTACTTTCCGTTTTTTCACTCTTACTTAGGCTGTCCGATCTCTTTAATCGATCTCCTTTGTTTAGACTTTCAGATCTTTTTAGTTTGTTGTTGAGAGGTGAACTAGTTCGTTCTGGTCTGTTTAACGATTCAGAACGTCTTAAGTTAGTTCCACTCTGGTTTACTTTATTTTTGTTGGAAAACACGATCGTTTTGGTAATATTTCTATCATTATCAGGTACTTTTTCCATAGCCATCGTATCTTCTTCTTTTTCTTTATCGTTTTTATACTCTTTATCTTCCTTTTTCGACATTTTGAGTTGGTTTTTATGTAAACTAGGGTTTCTGTACAAATCACTAGCCTGGGGTATGTTTTCCTTATCTGGATAAGATTTTTTAGGATGTTTTTCTGGCGATTCATCTACATAAGGAATGCCCTCACCAGACAAAATCGAGGGCTGGTCCTTCAATCTCTCGTCGATGAGCTTGGTCATTGTACTCAACAAAGACTCTGAAACAAAACAAAATATTTTTAAAAATTAGAAAGTGTTATTCCAGAACTATAGTTAGGAAATTAATTAAAAACAGTGTGTAAATTTTTATTAAAATAGTTGCATACAATATTTTTTCTACTACCGTACACATTATCCATTAATATTAGAAATATAAAAGTTACTTTTTTCACTAGTGCGTAAAGTAATCAAATTCGCTGGATAAATTTGAATCCATATCGATTATGACAGATATAAACTGCAAATAAAATGTTAATTTAAGTAAACAAACAATAAGAAAAATTGTTTATCTTCTCAAAATTGATTCGGTTTTAAAAAATAGTAAATTAGCTTTAGAAATCTAATCCACACAGCCACGGCCTACTTACTTTTACCAAAATCGACATCAACGGTTTGTTTACTTTTAGAGAAAATTATAATTAAAATAAAAATAATTTCTTGGACACTAAATAGATATAAGCAAAAATAATTTACTTATTTGTCTTAGAAGGAGATAGCATTAAAATGGTAACGTTATATTTTGTTGCTATGTACAATTTTTGTCAAATTTTACTTTTTTTCAGTAGTGCGTAAAGAGTTTTACTTTACGCAGTGGTGAAAAAAAGTACAATTTTACGCACTCCGTGGAGTTCGTAAAGTATGTACTTTACGCACGGTAGTGGAAAAAATATATATTTTGTGTTATTTTTTGTTTTTAAGCACTCGAAAAGACCACATTGAATAGTTATTCATAAACCAAGAAAAATATTTCTAAAGTATCAACTTTTTTATTTATAATGAAGCTCTTAAAATTACTACACCATTATACTTCTTCTTCATAGATTAATTAAACATCAAAAACATCTTTAAGAAAATGTTTTAACACAGAATTATAGTTTATTTGAAAATTAATGATATCAAAATTTTTATGACTCGTGAGAATTGTTAGTTCTGTAATAATAGACGATAAAAAGCGATATTGATCAAGTAAATTTGTGCAATAAAAATGTCACAAACGTCTAATTATACTCCTGTGAAATTAAAGTGTAATTTAACCGAGCATATGAAAAATTTAGTGTTAAATGTACATGACGCTCTTGTACATGAACATTTCAATAGTACTGTTCAGAGTATAGTTTCTAAGTGTTCAAATATGACCGGAGTTGGAGAAGCAATCATTTATAGACTTTTGAAGCAATAAAAGGATGAAAGTATTACAGTAGCACCTAAAACGTCAACTGGGAGAAAAACGATAGAAAATCTGTGCTCATAGAGAAAGATGATATTTTTTATTGGAGGAGGCAATATTTAAGAGAAATTAGAAAATTAAGAAGATAAGATAAAAATATTGTTGGATAAAACATGGATAAATGAAGGACATTTTGTAAAAAAAGTTTGGCAAGATAAACAGGTTACAAGTGTTCGTCAGGCATTTATGGAAGGTTTGTCTACTGGCTTAAGATTTCCAAACGGTAAAGGTCGCCGTTTAATTATCACTAGTACTGGAGGAGATAAAGGATTTGTTGATAGAGGCTTGTTAGAATTTGATTCAAATTCTACGAAAGACTACCTTGAAGAAACGACTGCTAAGGTTTTTGAAAAATTCAGATAAGACGGTATCAATATTTACTTTTTTCCGCTTTGAACAATCCTGTATATAGACCTTTGCCATAAAAACTTAGTTATTATGAATTTTCAAATAAACTATAGTTATAAGCCGCCTTGTAAAAACTGTTTTTTTATTACGACTATTTCTGTTTAGTAATTCCATCTGATATAGCTCTCGTTCCTGCAGTGAAAAAATTCCGGCCAAGCGACAAGCATTGATCAGACAAAAATGCTGCATCTATAATCTACATGGAACATCCTCAAACTTACATAAACAAAAGTCACTTCTCAAACATTTTTATTGAAATGAAATGTTTAAGGTGAATACAGCACCCCATATAATTTTCGGACATTTCAAAAAGTAATTATGTTTAAAAAAATAAAATTTTGACAAAATAAATTAGGCAATTATATCTAGAATATGCATATACTTTAAAGTTTTAATTCCTTCTAGTTTCCGAAAAAAAATTAAAGGGCTTTAAATTTTGAAATAATATAATAAAAATAAATGCATTCCTCAACAGGACTATTCTTAATATAATTCCGAAATTTGAGATCTTAATGTATTATTAATGAATTTTTAAAATTCACCAAAATTAGTGGCTAAAACACCTCGTTAAGTGCTGCCTTCTGTTGTAACGCAACTGTAACTATCATATCGTACATTCTCAGTCATCATTATTTCCTGCAATGATATATACCAATTTACACAGGAGACAGCACTTAACAAGCTATTTTAGCCACTAATTTTGGCGAATTTTAAAAATCATTAACTAAACATTAAGAGCTTAAATTTATGGAATATATTAAGAATAGTGCTGTTGAGGAATGCATTTCTTTTCATTATGATATTTAAAAATTTAAAGCGCTTTAAGTTTTTTTTTTCTCGGAAACTGGAAGGTATTAAAACTTTAAAATATATGCATATTCTAGATATTATTGCCTAATTTATTTTGCCAAAATTTTAATTTTTTAAAAAAATTACTTTTTTAGATATCCTTGTCCGAAAATTATAAGGGGTGCTGTAATCACCTTAAGTAAGAACTTATTACAAGGTAATCTTTGAAAACGTTATATCAATCAATATTTTAAAAAAATAACACTAAAAATCTAATGTAATGATTATTATAATTTTTTACTATTAGTTATTTCACTTATTTTTAAATGGATCCACAGCCGGTTACAAGAACGTTCATTAAAATTTACGACGGTGATAAAATTAAACGAGTGTATAGACTGAGAGTTATTTGAAATTTATGTCATTTAAACAAATTACATTATCAAGCTCTGTCAAAGTTTATCAGCTAATAAATTTTAATGAACGTTCTTGCAACCGGCTGTAGTTCATCTTTTTTGTTTTTCATTAAATATAGGTATTAGATAATCATAATTTTAAGTCAAACTGGTATGTCTGCAAAAGTAGTAGAATGATTTATCTGTTATACAGATTGGGAAAAGGATACACGGGCCACAGGGTATAGGCATTGCGAGTGCACGGCCATCCCTCCCATACTTTGTGTACAACACCAACCTCTACATACCTACCATCTCTCCTGTTTTTGATATTGTTTACTTTTATCAATCATCAGGTTGTCTCTGTTAAAGTTTAGTAATGTATAAACTGAAGAAGAGTGTTGTTCTCTCTAATTAAATAAAGACAATATTTACGCAGATTCCTATGATTGTTGAACGAAGAATTATTAGCAAGTGACAAATAATTTATAAATCTTCAAGTTGCTAATGTGCCATTATGGCTTTGAAAATAAAATAATGATTTAAACAAAATACAAAACACTAAAGTAAAATTCTAAAAAAATAGAATAAAAGGCAATTCTAAACAATAACAAAAAGAATTTTAAAAAACTAAAATGACAAAAGTATTAAACCTAACAAATAAAGATTTCAAATATTTCACAGTCTTTTGCTAAACAATGGCCAAACCTGTGATGGAAAGACACCCTCTTATCTCTAATTTAGTTTTGTGTAATATTTTCACAGTGGTATAGTGAAAGCTAAACAGTAAAAAAAAATGAGCTGAAGAATTAAAATGTATTGTTTATGTTGACCGATTCGATTACGCATATTATAAGCATCTTACGATTAATAGAGATGGGCGTCACTACACCCAATGGCTTGTATACACTGTAGAACAGCCAAATGGAATAAATTCGGTAATAAATACATGGGGACGGACACGTCGATTGGTATTTTAGTTGCGCATTTTTTTTAACAAAATCTTTTTATATCTTGTAACAGTCTCCAATACCAACTTTATTTTTTTTTTTTAATGCAACACCCTGTATATTTTCAATTTTTGGATTCTTCAGAAAATTCTAGACATATTTTATGTCCTATACCTAATCGTTTCGAAAATATTGTTTTCCTATTTATTGCCAAAATTAACATTAACAAAATAAAATTGTTTGATTACAGAAATTCGCTACAACACACTCAATACTTATTTCCCATTTGGGTCTTGATTATGAGAAAGTAAGCAAAAACCATTTCAGCGTTCCTTTTTACTAATATGAAATTTAAAAAAAGATGTACTTAAATAGTTTTGTTTACTTTTGTTTAAAATGCCTTAGCAGTAGTTGTCAGTGTTATAGTCGTTTGATTTTCCTTAACTGCATATCAGAAAATGATTCATTTAACAGAAATGCACAAAATAACAATTCTACAGATGATTAGTTATGGAGATAACACATGGACACAAATGGAAGTTGCTCGCTTATTTCATGAAAAATTTCCAAATTTGCCGCGTATATCCCAAGGGACAATTAGTAAAATAGTGAAGTGGTTTCGCAAGCTTGAACATGTAAGGCAGATAAAAAAACAGCTGCCAATGCAATAACTAATGGTACAAAATTGGATATTATCCTTGAGTTTCGATATTAGCCATTCATCGATTATTCGAACATTAAAAGAAGATAATACGGTGATCCAATTGATTTCTGATGAGTGTACCTTTACAATTCATGGTCATGCTAATCGTCAAAATTGCCGCTATTGGTCTAGGGACAATCCTCACTGGATGAGAGAAGAACATACGTAGTACCCTGAAAAGGTTAATGTTTGGGCAGGAGTTGTTGGCGATCATATAATAGATTCCATTTTCATTGATGGCAATTTGAATGGCGATAATTATTTAGCACTAATATCCCGATCCAGCAAACCCACAAGTTCCAGCAAATATGATATGGTTTCATCAAGATGGAGCGGGCAGTACCTCAATCGAGTATTTCCAAATCGGTGGATAGGGAGGCGAGGGTCTGACATCATTAGACTTTTTCTTATGGGGATATGTCAAAAGGATTGTATACAAAACTAATCCTCTTGACCCAGCTGACTTAAAAAGACGAATAATGATTGCGATTAGATCGGTCACGCCTGAGATGATGAGTAACGTTAG